TTTGGTCCATAAAAATTATTGTAATAATAGGTATGGGCATTAATTAGGAGGTATTTGACTAAAATTTAGAGGCACACATACATGCACAGTGTCATATAATTTTTATGTGAATAAACTCGACATTATGACAATATTATAGCTATCATACCATGTCATGATCAGATTGACTAGTTGGCTTGTTCCCCATCTCTCCAGTACTTAGTTATGAGAGAATCAGTTGAAAGAGGAGAATTAAGAGAAAAAGGAAAGAAAATATAATCTGATTGTTCAGATACTAATTCTATATCATGAAATTATGAATAAGATATGATCATTATGGAAATTGGATAGGTAGGGGATCGAGTTAGGCCTAATTCTACATTTTCCTTTGAGAGACTAACATCTATATACCAGCATAATTGCCATTCCAGAGCTAAAATGCATGATACAAACAAGGGCACGTCGTGCATGCCCTGCTAAGCAGTTGGCATTCTAAATTTCTGATCAAGGAAGTTAACCATGCAACCACTATCATAGCTATAAATTCCACATGAACAATGAGCCACTGATACCATAGGATACCTTTTTATCAAGGGCTGTAAATTTTGCAGATTTTGCAATTTTTTGAAGATTTGCGAAAATTACTCGAAGATTTGCGAAAATATCGCCCTCGGGCCTACGGCCCTCGGGCGATATTTCTGCAAATACTCCTTGGCAGGGCTATATACTCCATATACTCCTCAAAACCATGTTATATACATATATATAATTATATATATATATATATATATATATATATATATATATATATAATTATAATAACAGGCAGTCTATCGGGGTGTCAGGTCAGTGAGTGTATAGATCTAAGTCGTCTTACTTCTCTTAGTTGCGGGTAATAGCGTGGCTTTCAGCCACCCCGCTGTAGCAAATTTGCAGCAACCTCTGAGTCGGTATAAAAGTTATAGTAGAAACAGGACTTAAAAAGAAAAGTCAGGAGAAGAATACCTCGCCTCGGACCTGCAAGCGGCACTCGCTCAGAGAAGGCGTGGGAGTAACTGATTACGCCACTCCTTCCTAAAACAAAATGGCTGACATGATGTCTCTCCTGCCCCATTTCGTATTAGAGAGAATATTCATATACACAAGTTTTAAAGACCTCATAAGATGTAGTATGGTATGTAAGAAGTGGTACAGTCTCCTCAGTGACGAAGACTCCATCATTTGGCGATCCAAATTCGAAGACGCGGGCACAAGACATTTCAGAAACTCAAAACACTTCTCAGAGCTACAGACCTTTAGATCCAAAGCCCTCGCTTATGAGTGCGCTTGGAATGGACAGGGCACTTCCAAGAACATATACATCAAGGACGACTGCCTAACTCTACATAGAAAACCAGTGGCCCAATCATCGGATGGTATAAGAGGAAAGACAGGGTTTCTAAGAGGACAGCATTACTTTGTCGTCATATTTCAAGGTCCTAGTTTCGGCTCTGCGGCTCTAGTGGGCGTGTGTACAAATGTTAATTTAAAAGACAAATAAATAAAAACAGAAATTGTCATAAGTACAGGAATTGGAACATTTTCATCATCATCCAGCATTATAATTTTACC